ATCACAAAGGTTAAGTTTTTAATGCCAATTGATTCACTCTCTCACCATAGCTTCGTTATAACACAGAACTCCAACATTACATACAGTTTATTCCGTAATAATGCAATCAAACCACAAAAACAACTAACATTCGTAAATCCGAAATGAGGACATCAAAACCAGAAAATTTATAGCACTCGCTCGCGTTCACTGAAGGTTTTGCCCATTAATATGTCATTAACCGTTTAATACACACAGTAATGAAGTGCCGCCAATGTTTTGGTTATCAAACTCTTATCGACAGAATAACACAAAGTCATACCTATGTAAGAGTAATAAAAAACACACATAGATGCAGATACTCATACATATACAATACAACATGCATGCGCGCACACGCCCACATACACACACACATACACTCACACATAAAATGACCTTCTTAAATGATAATACTTAATGATCTCTCAACAGTAGTCCGCAGCATCTGTTCACGACTTAACCTAACCTAATCTATCTTAAGAAGGAGGGAGCCTGGAGATCAGTAATACAGGTATTTGAACCTAGTACAGACTTTAGCTCTTTCAAAGGCTTACAAAATAAACTATAAGGTTAATTTGATAAATTAATTTTGTTAATTTAATAAATAATAAAAAAATATGTTATTTTTTGTACGTTATTACAAAGTTAAGTCGTACTGTGTGCATTACTAATAACAATCTTACGTTATGGACGTTTTTTCCAGGTTAGGGTACCCGACGACGATCCTTATGCGACCAGATAGACGCATAAGGAATGTCGTTCCAAAAAAAAAAATATTAACACGTTGACTGCCATGTAGGTAACCGATGCCCTACATGACACACTGAAGTTACGTCGATTTATCTCTTCAACCTTCTTACTATGGCGCCGGAATATCTCTCTCTGTAACCCTGGGAAAACGAATCCGAAGATATTGAGAATGAATCTATTTCTAAGAGACCTACAAGACTAAAACATACATTAACAAACAAAAGAAGAAGAAGTTAGGCAATCGAGATGCATAAGATCAGAAATCTACAACATAAATGCGCCACCCACCTTGAGATATAAGCTCTAAGTTCTCAGTATAGTTACAACGGCTGCCCCACTCTTCAAACCGAAACGCATTACTGCTACACGGCAGAAATAGGCAGGGCAGTGGTACCTACCCGCGCCGAATCACAAGTGGTCCTACCACCAGTAAACAGTCCCTACACCGAATTTTAAATCTTAACTGTAACTTCAATACATCCAATAAATCGCTTCAATATATGTAATACTTGCATTTACCTGTATTCGGACATTATCAGCTCGAAAAGTTTCTGTTTTACGGCTAATTAAAATTCAACTATGCTAATTTCGACGCTGAAACACTATAAAGGCCGCTGTTCACGCTTTTCCGCGTGTCACGGACGTATTCGAGATATTTAATTATGTTCCAACTAGTTATAATACGATCTGACTTGTTACATACTAACGTTCAGAATGAAGAGCCTAATAAAATTTTATTTAAATTAACTTGTGTTGGCGACAAAATTTTTGAGCTTTGGTAAAGTAATTTGAAATATGTCGCATCATGGCCGGATACCTTCAGTATGTTTTGACATAGTGGGCGTATGGTGGGTGGTCGTGCGAAGCGATATGGAAGTTCCGAGACGTCTTCACGCTTCCTAAGTCAGGCAACGAATGTGCATAGATAATACACATAAATTAGTTATAGATAAGCAACTCAAGCACTCAACAAAAATGTTTACGGGCGTCGGCCACTAGATGGCTTCGATTCGATTAGTTTTTCGTTGCCCCTGTAAAATTAAATGGCAGTAATAAATTAACTATTCTATATTTTATTTTTAATGAACGATTTGTAAATTTTCAGAAATCACAAATTCATAAAATCTAATCAATTTGTCTATAACAAATAAAGACTTGTATGTTTTTTTTTTAAAATTATGTATTTAGTTATACAATAATTAAATACTTCAACAACATACAAGGTTAGGGGCATCCGCTTCAAGATGTCGCTAGTTCCAATACAAAAAAATATTAGTCTTAAAGTATCGCAGTTTCAGGGCCCTGGAATGTGTTTCGATTCAACCCGAGCGATGACACCTCGACTCTGCCGAAGCATACAATCTGAAGTGAGCCGATGTTTGACGAGTAGTTGCAGCTTACGTCAACTAGGTGGCATGCTTTCGGTTTGTTTTTCGCGTCCGGATCCGACTTATACATAATAATATCTATACTAATATATAAATCTACAGTGGTTTTTACGGATGTTCCGTTATAACTACTGAACCATGCATCCGATTGACTAGAAACTTGGTATCCATGTAGAAAATACATGTACTTAATCGATAGGCTAATAGTTATATGAATGTTGGACTCCCTACGCTAGTTGCGGGGGCGTTAATGATGAGAATCTTTGTGGGGGTGAGAAATAATAATGTTGATTTCAAATGCCCAGCGAAGCGGACGGGTACAGCTAGTTTGTACATATATCACACATATTATATATATATTTATACATATTTGAAATCGTTGTCGCCTAAAGGATAAGACGCCCGGTTCACTCGTATCAAGTGATGGAATAACAAATTATAATTAATATATAAATCAAACTACAAAGCAAAAAATACAATTTGTGTAATTATTGGTGACAGAATGTCTTATGAGTCCGCACGGGTAGGTACAACCAGGGTCTGGGCTTAAGGTTGTATTATTATTATTTTTTGTCGCATAGATAGATGGAGAAGCTCACAGCCCACTCGGTGTTAATTGGTTAGCGGAGCCCATAGACATCCACAACGCAAATGCCGCCACCCACCTTGAAATATGAGTTCTAAGGTCTCAGTACAGTTACAACAGCTGCCCCACCCTTCAAACCGAAACACATTACTGCTTCACAGCAGAAATAGGCAGGGTGGTGGTCGACTTCTTTTTCTTTTTAATTTTACTTTAAATTCACATTTACAAGAAAAAACATCTCTCTCAAAAAAATATCTCAATATCAGTTTCTTTTTTGGTTAAGTGTTGCAATAAATTTAAAACGGATATTTTGAATTTAGACAGAAAACGATGATATATCAACTGATAAATCCGTATACATATATCATTATATTCTGGCTTTCAGTCATTACTTTTAATTACTTTTAACCAGCTAATACTCTGATCTGAAACATAAGACTCGGTGTGGTATTTAATATGGAGCATTCGTCACAACATAAATGTCTCAAATATTATCTCGGGTTAGTGAGCTCGCATGAGCTAACCATGCTGACCATGCTGACCAATTTGACGGACAGAATGCTAGTGATTTAACGCTGCAAAAACTTCGAACTCGTCTGTGACCATTCCGACAGGAGCCCTCTTCTTCGATATAGCGAAGGCGTTCGACAAAGTCTGGCACAACGGTTTGATATACAAACTGTATAACATGAGAGTGTCAGACAGACTCGTGCTCATCATACGAGACTTACACCCGTATCTTTAGTCGTTCACACGAGCACAACTCGACTCGACTCAACCTCCAACGCGCGTTTTGGTATGCTTAGTCGTAAAAATAAACTCCACTCAAACGTCCTTGGAAAATTTTCCTAACCGGAGTGAAGTGATCCAACTGTCAAGTTAAGGTACGTCGCGACGTACCTTGAACGTTCCTCAAGGCTGGTTTTCTATCAATGACAAATAGTATGTGGACCGCAAATGGAAATATATGATATTGTTGTGCAATGGCCTGGATCTGTGCATAATTCGCGCATATTTTGATAATTTAATTTTGATAATATTTATTAATAAAGTAAATATTTCGAGGTTAGACATTTGAAACTCTTTATTTTATTTACCTACATAAGAGACATATTTTGCTTACTACCTGATAAATAAAGTCAATGCGATTATAAGTTTTATTTATATAATAATAAACTGGTGGTTGTGGAAAAGCACTTCAACAACACGATGCAACCAAAATCACACAAAAGCGGCGAATAAAAATACAAAGCCGGATNCAAAGGCCTTAGCTTTGTCTAGATCGCTAGTGGCCCAAGTTCCATCAGATTTCCGTAGAGGAGGTTGGTGGTTTATAGGACGTTTAAGGTATTTGGTAGCCTTCCATAGCGAATAGTCTGTTTTCGATGTGGCATCCAGCTCTTGCATATATGTATTTGTTTTTTCGTTTCTCTCACGAGCCAAATGTATTTTCAATTTTGTAATACTATAATTAAATATTTTTTTGTCATCAGGATGCCTCGCAGTTTGCCATCGTTTTCTTAATCGCCTTTTTTCTGATAACAACGTTTTGATTGAAAGAGAACATTGCGATGGTTTTACAATTGGTGGGGCGGGTGTCGCCTGCCAAGCAGAATGTTGTACAACAAAGTTAAAATGTTCAACACCATCCGCAATGTCATCATCTGTTTTTAGAGGTAGATTGATGTCCAAAGAGCCAGATACCAATACACGAAAGTAATCCCAATCGGTCTGCAAGAATGCAGTCTACATGTTTTCATTTTCCTGGCTATATTTCGACTGAGCGTTATTATGACTGGGGAGTGATCAGATGAGAGATCAAAACTGGATGTACACTCTATACATGCATTATTGATGCCTTTTGTGATACAAAAATCTAACAAGTTTGGTACCTTCCTTTTGTCACTCGGCCAATATGTTGGCTCGCCAGTTGAACAAACATTTAATCTTAGTCGTTCAATGCAAGAAAGTAACTGTCTTCCCTTCGTTGTCACAGTTCGAGACCCCCAGCTTGTATGCTTAGCATTATAATCTCCACCAGCCATAAATCTATGTCCTAAGGAATTAAAAAACTTATACTCCACATATTTTGAGTAACTAGTATATAATTATGACTATTTTGGGAAACTATTCCAATTATTTGTATGTAGGTATTCTTAGGTAGAGGAACGTATATTTGAAAGCAGTATGTGGCAAACCAGGAGAAAGTCTTAGATGATTTTTTTCCAATTGGGACTTCAAAAGCAAACTACAGATATTAAGACAGATAATACTAAATTTAATACAGCAAGTTTACCATAATATACACATACATTAACAAGATATTAAAATCAGAAGTTACACTTCGTCGTAAAACTAGATATTCGAAAAGATTAAAGAAATACTTTGAATTTATTGTTATGTGATATTAATGTGTATTCAGATATATAGAAATCTAAATTTCAATAATAATTGATAAATGATGAATATGTAACATAAAAAGCTCTTTTGCGCGCAATACATTTAAATTAAGGATAAAAAGTAACTCGAATGGCTTTTTTTTAGATATTAACTACGATTTTTTTTCTATTTAGGCCATTAAAAATACGTTGTTTATTGTAAATTTAAACAATATATTAGTAACTGTAAATATTTTAATATGCTATTTAACTATGACTAACTGGTTAGGTATCCGCTACAGACTGCGAATTAAATGCACGACAATCTCTCTCCCATACTAAACGCTCTTCTACACGTTCACGCGAAAATTACACGCCCGTGGATTACCTTGTCGTTCTAGTTTTATGCAATGAAAGGCATATTGAAATATTCTTTATGTAGTATTGAGACAGGGTATGCACAGGCTGTTCCGTATGAACGCAAGATCTGGAGAGACCGTTTAAAGTATCAGTCGCCGGTACACTGGAATATCTTGTTCCTGTACTCGTGGTGCAGAGCGGAGTAGCTCAGCAAGGGTGTACAAGTCGTCGCGCGGGCGGTAGTTGTTCTGGTGCATCATGTTGTCCGAACGCTTTTTGGCCACCATGAATCGTTTCATCTTGTTAGCGTATTGCCTCTTGCGACGGGCTTCCTCGTACCTCTGCGCCAACTCATTCGGTCCGACTTGATATAGGTCAGGATAGCCACGAGCAAGCGCCATTCGGTTTTGTTCGGAGAAGTAGGAGTGATGCGGGTAGTCGCGATCATGCGGCCCGATAACGACGGGCTCGTTGTACCACAAATCGCCATTTTCATCAACTTCAGGTTGTTCCTCATCTGGATTTACACGACCATAATATCTATCGGCGGCGAATTGGTTTGCATACTCTTGCTTTCGGCGTTCCTGAGCTTCCCAAAGATTCAACAGAGCTCGCACGTCAGCGGCGCTCAAACCCGAGTCTCGTTTGCGTCGTTCTGAAATCGGCCTGTGGAAATACGAACGATAAATTTAGTTATTTGTATTCCTTTACCATGCCTCCTTAGTCATGTTTTGTTTTTAATTAAGACCTAAAGTTCTTCTTATTTCCACCGGAATTTTTTGTGGCGGTCTTGGCAGAAGCAGCAGCTCCGCCCACCTTAGTACCGCTGCCACGCTTACGGCGTTGAGCTTCATGTTGAGTCATTAAATCGATTGGTGACAGAGCGGCTTGATCTTCTGGCCTAAAAATATAACGTGAGTTAGACTTATTTTTGGACACTGTGTACTCATTTTTACACGTACATCTGGCTCAGAAACGGTACTTACTTGAGGTTTTTCTTGCCCGATCCAGATTTCGTAACGACTTTAGTGGCAGCACCGGCCCCGCCTACTTTTGTGCCGCTTCCTCTCTTACGTCGTTGTAAGTCGAATGCAGAAGCGAGTCCTTCCATTGCCGGTGGTTCGCCATAAAGTTCAGGCCTCATGATAAGATTATCGAGTTCTCCATTGGACTGTGGTGAGTCGAAGCGTTGGTCAACCGTTTGGTCATAGCCATCTTGATTTCCTGCAATATAGCCGAAACATTTTTTTTATTGCCCTTGTAGGCAGACGAGCATACGGCCCACCTGATGGTGAGTGGTTACCGTCGCCCATGGACTTCAGCAATGCCAGGGGCAGAGCCAAGCCGCTGCCTACCGAATTACACTGAATTACACTGAAATCTGTGGTTTAATCTTCTTAATCTGTTAGATTCAAATAGAATTAACTTATTAATCGAATATTCGCTTTAATTAATTTTATTGTACAATACCTTCTTCGCTGAGGGCAAGCGGGTAAGGTTCCAAATCGTTTTTGTCACTCTTGTTCAAGAAGAGAGATCGGTTATCATCTTTTGTTTGATCCCAATTTTCTGGCAGTTCACTGATGGTACTGCCATCTGAATGTAAGGTTGTATTAAAAAATAGAATTTCTAGTTTATCAAAATATGAAAAAAAATACTGGTGGTGAAATAACAGGTAGGTACTGATGGTACGGCCTATTATAAGTCTATACGGGTACCATCAACCTGCATGTTTCTGCTGCAAATCAGTCATACAAACTGATTGAAAGGTTGGTGGCACACACATTATGTCTATGGAATTCGGTAATCACTTAAGAACCATCTTGCCTGTGGTGAGCTCATCCACCCGTCTACGCAATAAAAAAAACCTGAATAAAATTAGTAAATCCATTTAAATTTACATTGTAATTAAAAGTTACAGACATTTTCTCCAAAAGTACTAGTCAACACGTAGGAATCAAGTTATATGTGCCTGCAATATGACTAGAAACTAGTCATAGGTATCCATGTCAAACCGTATTGTTTGAATTGTATTAAATTGCACCTTTCAATTTTTTAATACGCATGCGTGGTTTGCATTCGTGGGGCGAGTCCTTGTTGCTAGGCCCTAGCAATGGCATTGCAAGGTGAGACCAAAGACAGACGTTATACGTTTTCCGAATAAATTAATGCATTTGCCCAATCTATTTATAAGTCATTGTGTAAAATATCAGAGTTGATGGTCGGTAAAAGTACTAACTACGCAGCGACATATCGGCGCAGACCGGGCTCGGGACACCTGTTGCTAAATATAGAACGACCCACCCCCCACCCGTGATCGATACGGCAACACAACAATACAATCATAACACCCCAGGCAACAGCCTTCAAACGAATATGCAGCGGCAATATATAAAGTTTTTTTTAGGTCTTTAAAGGCGGTAAATTGCTTCGATAGGTACCTACCTGCGTTTAAGTTTGACGACTAGGACTAATAATAGATTTTTCCGATAATCAAGTTGCAATTCACTGTTTTCACGAATTACACACAATTATATCGCTATTCTACCTTCTGAGTGACATCAAAGTATAAATACATAAATTGGTAAATCCATTTCCATAATGAAGAACATTCAGCTCGTAGTAGATATTAAGAGTATATCCCAACTGCTATTCGATGTAAGTGAATATAATATTAAATGAAAAAATAAGAATGAATCAATGTGTGCATTAAAATACAGGTCTTACCTTTGTTGTTCGAAGGCGTCGGCACTGCGCTGACAGCAAGGACCGCTGTAATAGCGGTTAGGGAAAATAATAACATAGTCACGGTCGGTCAGAATAGTCGATGGACAGTAAAATAAAATGAATAAATCTCTTAAAATGTGGTCTCAGGAGGTACACCGGATGCGTTTGTGATGTGGCCGCACGCAGGGAGCAAGTGATGTTTAGCGGAGTCCAAGCTGGAGAGAAAACCCATCGCTTGTGTCGATAATTTTGCGACATGCGCAGTGTACAACACAGTGGCGAACTTGTCGAAATATATCATACGGTTAAAACTATTGCACCAAAATACTATGAACTGTTTGATCAATAAAAAAATGCTTCACAATCACATAATGTTGTTTTAGTTATCGCCAGTAAAATTCAAGAAAAGCACTTGTCTTATTGCAGCCATTTGCTTGGTCCAATTATTCAATAAAAAATCCAGAGGGGATCTAAATTGCTCAGAAATACAAAGGTCGACCTCATCGCATTTGCATAAATCGTTTAAAAAGTATGAACAATTCGACTATTAAGTCTTTTTCTTTTGCTATTGTAGGCATACGAGCATAAGGTGTAGGTACCTGGTGGCGAGGGGTCACCGTCCCTTAAGGAAGTTGGCAACGGCAAGCTACTGCCTACTTACCTACTTCATAAGTTATTCTGTTACAATTTTATATCTATCTACTACTAAAGTTACTACTACGTATAGCTGTTATACAATGCAATTTAGTTTTCGACCTCATGACTCAAAATGAGCAGCGGCTTTCATATAGTGCTTATGTCCTCCAGGAGGGCCGTGTAACATTTTGAATATGGTTTTTATTAATACCTCAAATTGAATTATAAAAAATTTATAAAAAAACATTATGTATCTTGCTTCGTTCCTGCACTGCTGACGTCTGTTGCTCGAAAACGAAACAAGCCCTTAATAAAATAAGACTTATTGAGTGGAAAATGAGTCGAGACGGGAGTGGCGTCGGTACTTATTAATTACATTACATTAAACATTTTCCAGCTATCTGCTTTCTCGGATTGAGCGGCTGTTTCCAAGCCTTTAATTTATTTGTTTTAGCAATAACCACCCACGTTGATTACCTAAAAATAGCATCATCAACGGCACGATAAGCGACATTTCTGTTAGAAAATTGTGGTGTTGGTTGGTTTTATGGTATTTGTGATTCTAATTGGACTAGACTTCGCAGATTGCCGGTTGTTTGATGTATCTAATCCATGATTCGCACAAAATACCTAGAGCCGAGAATTCGTTCCATTTAACAATTAAAGAAATATAATAAAAAATGTAACTGATAAGATTGGTGCTTCAAATATCGCGAAAAGTGCGTCCCTCTTTGATTTTGATGCCTATGGTCACGGGATAGTGGACGAGACGTACGAGTTATGACTACGCCTGTTCTGAAGAATTATGTTGTATTAAACTTGAAAATCATGTTGTATTAAACTAGAAATATTCCTGTGCATCAAAACAGGAAGACAGATGCTCCCATACGTAAAAAAACCTATGGAAACATTTAGTTGTACTGATGTTATTCATTCTAGCAATCTAACATGCATCACATACCTACATAATGTTAATACATTACACAGCTTAATAGCTCGCGAATGTCCTCGAAGTGTTTTACTTTAGTTTTGTAGTACATAATATTCTTTTTTAAATGATAGTCATTGCGTATCCTTATCCTACGTTTTAATGCATAGATTATTCTTTTAGTAGTTTCTAGAATTGTGACGTTTCACCCTGTATCTTTCACAAAGGCGCAAATGAATTGCTTTTTTTTCTACCTACTCTAACGAGCCTCAAGGGTTATACTAGCTTCACCGAATGTGTAGGCGAGTTCGCGGGGCTCAGTCTGAGCGACTTTGCAAACATCTGCCCTAGCAAGTGTAGTGCTTCGCTGAATCTACCACCAGATCGGAATCGCAAACACCTGAGAAGATCGGGCAAAAAACTCCGTGGGTTGCGAAAAGCCACAATAGTATATTACATCATAAAATTACTTTCTTAATATCCGGTGTATTTTAATCTCCTTGTATACTTCTTTTAAGATTTAAAATTCGTTAACAAATCTATTTTATTTTATTTTTACGTGTTAGTCAGACTGTACGTCCGTGACTGGAAATACACAATAGGACATTTAACAAGGCCCATCTTCTCGTTCAGTCACTTTACCAACACAAAAGACTTAATGGAACGTTCTGGGGTTCCAACGCAACGAGCTAAGATGCTACCTAGGTATAGGACAGCTCGGTCATATTTTATGGTTTCCTTTCATTTTGCCAATCATTCCTGGGCTATTAACTTGCACGGACGTACATACATACAATTTAAACTGAAATAAATAAATAAAAACGTCTAGTTTAAGCTATGTATATAAAACTATCCACCAAAACCATATCAAAAGTATTTAATATTTTTTCAAATCTATTTTTGAACACTACCATAGTAACTTACCTATAGCATAAAAAAGTTATCGTATTAAAATGAAAGCAGCATGCTATGAAATAATGCTATGCAATATCTTAGCTTAAGAACTAAATGAAATTTTCTACTGCAAGTTATTTATTGTATTAAATGTGTTTTATCTATTCTTCTTATCCTTTATTGGATTGCATTTGTTTATTTTCGAACATCATACCTATTATTTATTTATTAAAGTATTTTAACCAATTTCAAAGGGTTTTCTAATTCCGAATGTATTTCGGCAATCATACTTACAAAGTGGATAAATGGAAAGTTAAGTTAATGATTATCATGAGGTAAGTCATCAGTCAAGAGCATCATGAAATTAACACGTATTAATCTACTTCGAAGAATGCACACGGAGATAATTGATATTAGTAGTGATAGGAAAGGATATAAATTATATCGAACACTAAAAAAATCCTCCCTATGAACTCTCCATTCTTACAAATCTACGCGTGGTTGTTAACATTTCATACACGCACAAAGATATTATTGTAATAAGCGAGGAAAATTCTTCTAATTACTCTAAGCTTCAAATACTTCAAACTTCAGTTTATCCAGGAAGTTAGGGTCTGAAATCGCTTGCTTGTTGGATTCAGTCTCCAATTGATGTGTGTTAATTAAACTTTACTTCGAAAGTAAGTAACGTTGTTGCTGTACCGCTTATCAATTCATCGAAGGCAGGTTGCCTTCACAGAGAAGGGCAACCCACAGACACAGCCGCGTCACTCAATGAGTCGCGTTTCCGAGCCGGTGGTAGATTCTGCGAAGCATTGCTCTTGCTACTATTAGGGCTAGTGTTAGCAACACTTCCAGTTTGAGCCCCGTGAGCTCACCTACACGTTAGGGTGAAGCTGAAGTAGTCTCTCAAGGTTATCAGCATAGGTAGGAAGAAAAAACAAAAAAGAAGAAGAGAAGGGCCTGTTTTGTTCATAGCCTGGTGTGGCAATTATTTCCAGAAATATCCCTTCAAGCTGCCTAAATCACTAGGATTCTTTGGGTTGTTATTTCGAGGGTTATTTAGTATCGTCATGTGTAAGGTAATGTCATCTAAACTGTTAAGTGCTCAAAGGAGCGATACGATATTTCGTCTTGTCTTAAGTAAACGCTTTACAAATGACAGAGCCGGTCTCGTGTGAAACACGGTTTACGGTTCAGAGCCGAAACTCTCTTGTTTCCAAAAGACGTCCGTATTGCAGTAAAAAAAATAATGTAGATTATATTGATTCAATTGATTGTTTCGAACTCCATCGGTTTACGGAGAATGTGGTGAAAGAATCTCTTTTTTTAAGAGGATCCCGTAATCCGCTTTTTTCCCATCATAACACTGGCCGAAGCAAGATTTACCCTTATTACTCCGAACAACTGCGTTTCTAGAGATCATTTTTGTTACATATCATCCGGTTCCGAAATGTCTTTTTACAAATGAAGTCTGAAATTGATCCTCAGGAGTGGGCATCGGTTTCACAATGTAACTGTCCTTATATATTGATATACTTCAGCGACGGCGACTGCTTACCATAAACCGGGCCGGATTCTAAAGCTCTGTTGGGAATGTTTCTTATAGGCTTGGAAAGATGTGAAGGATTGAAATCCTCGGCCTCATGTAACCAAATGTAAGGAAAAATAGGAATGAAAAAATTGTTTAGGTCATCAACTCAACATCAACTTATAAGTTTATAAGGAGTTAATAAGGAAGTTATATAGTTCATAAGGAAGGCTTTTTGCAAATTTTCAAGTTGCGGAAACTTACGGTTTACGAGATAAGTATAATGTTTTAAAGTTTCCATACAAATTGGAAAAATAGACATCAAGGTTTCACGTTCCATTCACGGTAGAGGTGCATTTTATACCATTTGTTTACCCAAATATACGTTATTTCTATTCTATATTATTCACATATTACATTCGGTGTAATTAATGTACCTACATACTAATTGTTACTGTATTATGCAATTAAATTGACTTTTTACACTAAAAATAACGAATTTTCGTTTCCACTGTAGCACGGAACGTGAAATGACGGTATTTTTTATAGCGTCTCCATAACTGTAGGTAATAAAATATCGTTATAAATTAGAATAAATATAACTTTAATGAACTTGCTCGTGTTTTATTCTCATTATAGGTATGAATATTGGAAAAATATCCAAAACCGAATCAGAGTACTACTTGGTCTTGCCTGTCCTACCCTTATACCTAGTCAGGTCATAAATTCTGTCACATGTTTAATGTAAAATAATTGAAACAAGTTTATTCATTATGTAACCATTCATATACCAGAATGAACTTAACAAAACATAGATTCTTATGACACTAAAGTTTATTCAAAATGACCTCCGTGATTTTGAATACAGGCCTACAATCTGCGCGGCCAGTCGTCTATCGCAGCACGAACGAGGTCCATGTCAATATCGGCGGCTGCCTTAATCAAGGATGTCTTGAGTGACTCCAAATTGGGATGAGGCTTTGAGCACGCCTTTTCCTCCAAGTGTTGCCATATCTTGTAATCTAACGGATTCAAATCTGGACTGGAGGAGGGCCAGTCTTCGTGCCGGATGAAGTCGATTTCACGCGCCGCCAGCCAGTCTTGTGTGCTCTTCGCTCTATGAGCTGGCGCCGAATCTTGTTGGAATACCCAGTGCCTGTTATTGAACATGGTATGAGAAACAGGTTCCACAAGGTTCGTCAGGACTGTATTTTGATACACAACTGCATTCGTTTTTACACCTTTCTCACAAAAATGTACCTCTGTTAAGCCCCAATAAGAAACTCCCAACCATACCATGAGCGAGGATGGAAAATGACCTCGTTGGACACGCGGAATACGGTTGCTCGCTTCTTCACTACTGTGTGCGTACACCTTATCATTTTGTTTGTTGTAGCTCTCTTCTACGGTAAAAATTTTTTCATCCGAAAAAAGAATTTCCCGATATTTTTTTCCCGCGTACCGCTTCAACAAAGCGCGGCATCTCTTTAGTCTCAGGTCCATTAGACGAGCATTCAAACGATGTCCTGTTTTTCTTCGATATGCCCGAAGCCCTAAGTCTTCATTTTAACCCTTTTCACCGTGGTTCTGCTTAACCCCATCTGCAGGGCCAACAGTTTCTGCTTACGTTTGGGATTTCTTTGAATTCGCGCCTTCACAGCTTTTATCACTTCTGCAGTCCTAACAGACCGAGGGCGACCACTTCTTGACCTGTCATCTACACTAGAGTCTTCATTGTATCGTTTGATGGTACGATAAACGAATCTTTTGGTTATATTCAAATTTTTCAGTATGTTAAAAATTGAATTGGCGCGTAACCGCAACGATGCAACGCAATAACTGCAACACGGTCTTCTTTAAGCGTCCACTCCATATTTTTGTAATGAGTAAAATTCTAAAAGTATACATTTTTATTTTCATGAACAATTCGAAATTCGAATTCAATAAACTTTTTTGTGGCCAGCATTCTAAAAGAAAAGTTTTTACTGTGTGACAATACTTATGACCTGACTAGTTAATGTATAGTATAAAAAAAGCAGAGGCGCGGAATGAGGTGGAACGGCTGAGGTTAGTCCATTGGACCTTTAAGCCTAAGCTGCGGAGCGGAGCATGAGTGACAGTGCTTCGGCACGCAAGGGTGCAAGGGCTGCTCTTCCCACAGCGCCAGAGATAATGCGAATTCAAACTGGAGGAGGAGAGGGAAGCTCCCTCTGAGTTTAACTAAATAGTGGTATTCTAACCTAACATTAACCATGGATATCTCCATAACCATAGGGTTCTGCGGGTTGAGGATGGTGGTAAAACATTACATTCAGGCAGGGGCTCGGCTCTGCCGACGTTTTTGATTACTTTCTTATATACCTACATGTCTACGTATGTTGAACTCAGTGCAGAACTTGTCAATATAGATTTGAAAATTTAGCAGTAGCAGAATTGGAGGCATGAAAATGCGAAAATTACAACTTTTTAGTTGATGACATTGAATAAACAGTTTGTTTTCAAAACGCAATTTGGTGTAGTTCTATGTATTTTAATATTTTATATTGACAATCTGTTAATTTTCTTTGGACTTCTTAGCTAAAACCTTTCCGGTACAAATTGCGAACATTATGCCGGTCACTCACATGCGCGCAAATATTCGTACATTGTACGAATGTTCGCGCGCATGAGGTTTTTTTTTTTTCCTACCTAAGCTGGTAGCCTAGAGCGGCTATTCCAGCGTAACCGTAACTAGTAGGTGAGCTCACGGGGCTCAAACCTGACGACGATGCTAACACAATCCCTAGCAAGAGTCGTGCTTCGCAGAATCTACCACCGGATCGGAAATGCGACCCACTGAGAAGATCCGGCGAGAAACTCAGTGGGCTGTGTCTGAGAGTTAATTTACTCGTCGAACCCTTCGTCGCAAGCGACGTGTTCGACGAGAACGGTGACCGATGCTTGAAGTACCTAGAAGCACCGTTAGTGGATCGGGAGGATCCGAGATGACGTGTTTTGGGCGACGTCGACTGTTTTCCATTCTGTCCACAGAATCGGGAATGTAGTTACCGGCGGCCACGATGAGATATAGAAAGTTTAGAATTAAAAGGTTTTTTTTTTGTTTTTTATTGTTGGAGTTTAAATATAAATGTAATGGCAAGCAACATTTGACACATGATTACAGATTTCGAATATTAGAATTATTTTAAATGTTTTAAAAAACAGATGATGGTATTCTCGTAAGAAAAAGTCAATACTTCTCATCTAGACACAGCAAGAGAAACATGTAATAGTTTTATAAAAAATATAAAGATAATAATTTTATAATGGTGTAAAAGTGGTCAAACTATCTGCAATATAATTATAATGAAGCAGTGTGTTTTTAAATAGCCCCTCATCACCTACAGAACCCAATCCCCTCAAATTTAACCATCCAACAGTTATCAACAGTTCATACACAGCAATCGCAGTCGCCGGTACTGTCCCAGCATATTCCCTTAAGAGTGCCAATCGTCAAATATTTGATCAAGGATCCTATGGTCAATACATATTTACTTGAGCAGATTTTCATATTTGTTTTTAATTTTGAATAGTGTTAAAATGACAATTTTAGATCACTATTATATGCCGTTGCTTAAAGTATTAGGTTTCATGTAATTTTAATACTTCTTTAGTCACATAAACACATTAATGTACTATGTAATAAGCTTTGAGTCATTTTTAAAGGTGGGCATTTAAACAACGGTTACTAGAATAATATATTTTTGTTCATGTCTACCAATTTATTTAGTAAAATATTGAATGCTGTATCTTTAACTAACTAAAATCTTCAAACAGTAAAGTTAACATTTCTTTTAAAGTTAGGCAAGGCAATTTTAGTGATTTCTACACAATAACATTAATATTCAATGCAATAATTTAAGATAAAGTTATTCAAGTCTATAACATTTTAACAATTTGTATTGTGTCAGCAATAAAGACTTAGTTCATGAATTATGAACGAAGTCTTTATTGCGTTTTTAGAATGATTAATTTGATTTAAAACATGTAGTACCCTACTTGGCCTTTACTTTGGGGACTTTGTCTACATACACCTATTTTTTACTTTTAAGTGTAAAGTAAGTGTGAACAAATCGTACTGCACAGTTTTGAACTTAAAAATATTTAATTTAAATAAAAAATTAAATTTAAAATTCCAAAGAATTCACACTAAATCAACATTGAAACATCATCTCACAGTTGTAAAGAATTAACTATACCAATGCTATCTGCTCTTCTTTTTTATAGCCTTCTTTCTCCTTTTTTTCCTGTCAGCTTCAGAATCTGAACTGGAAGTACTGCTTGATGAGCTACTAGAAGAACTGCTATCACTACTACTGGAAGTGCTTGAAGAGGAGGAGCTTCTTTTTCTTTTTTTTGACTTTCTTTTCCTGTTATCTTCACTGGACGAACTAGACTCTGTACTAGATGAACTTGTTTCTGAGGAATCACTTTCTGAAGAAGAAGAGGTAGATTGTTTGCGTTTCTTATGTTGTCTTTTCTTTGTTTGTTTCTTTCTTTTTTCAGATCTACTCTTTTTATTTGTAACAGGTGATGGTGTTTTGGGCTCTAAGTCACAAGATGAATCTCGTTTCTTGTGTTCTCTTTTTGGAGACTTATCATACTTTCTTTTCAATTTGGATTTATCATCTTTTCTACTTAATTTTTTTTCTGTACTTTTATCAACCATATACTTCTGGGAATGCTTTGTATGTTCTTTATGTTTCTGTGTTACATTGTAATTTTTTTCGTTATTTTTAGAATTTTCATTATCATGTGAACACTCTTTTGTATGGTAGTCTCTATGTTTTATACTATTTCTTTTTTCTTTGTCATCATTTTCAGCATACTCAGAGTTGTGTCTATCTTGGTGTTTACGACTAGCTTCTCTATGTTTAATTTTATGATTTTCAGTCTTACTACACACTTCATGCTCCTTAAGTCTCTTACTCTCTGTAACATTGTCCTTTCTTTCACTATGTTCTTTATGTCTTTTATCTTCCTTTGGTATATCTTTATCATATCTATCAGAATCTTTTCTTTGTGTATCTTTGTTGCTTGTATGTTTCCTATGATCTCTTACAGCCAGATCCTGAATGTGGCCATGTTTATCAATATTTTTTTCATTTTTATTTCGTTTTGACCGTTCCCTTTCATTTCTTTCTTGTTCGTAATTTTCCCTTTTAAGATTATAATCTCTACCATTCCTATGATCTCTTTCTCTACCAGTATATCTAGATTTATTTTTTGAGCCTTCTTCTTCTTCCGATTCATTTATTAGCTTAACCCCTCTACCTTTTCCTAGCCACTTTATTTTCGATACGGACTGGGAGAAGTCAACATGTATTCTTCGGTCATCAATAAGCACATTATCCATTTTAAAATAGGCATCTTCACATGACTTTTTATCAGCAAACTCAATAAAAGCATATTGCAAAGAATCACCACTCTTTTTATCTCTTATCACTTCACAACTTACTATTTTACCAAATCGACTAAATATGATTTCAAGATCGTCATCTGTTGTGACTGGATTTAGCTTGCAAACAAAGAGTACATTTTCAGGAGGAGCAATGTCAGCATCAGGAATATCACCAATAATTTCAAGAATAGTTGCTCTAGCTTTGGCCTCTTTTTCCTCAATAATCTCTTGTACTTCAGCTGTGCTCTTGCCTTGAGTTTCATCTATTTCCTCATCAGGTGCTATTCTCCCACCCTTCAACCTTTCTGCAGTAGGAGAAGGAGATCGCGAAGGAGCTCTTAGACCTGGAGGATCATTAAAAGGATCCTCTAACACTACAGTGTGTGTTATTCTGACATCACGATAAGGGCGATGAGTCTCATCACATATCACATCATTGAGTTTTCTTAGTACATCATGTCCTTCTGTGACTTCTCCTATGACACAATGTATCCCATCTAACGAGTCCAAGTCAGGAGCGAGAGTAAAAAAGAACTGTGAACCAATCATCATGTCTCCAGTACAAACCATTGACAATAACCCAGCATCAGTGTGCCGAATTTTTGGCATTTTCTCACCAGAAAACAATCGTTTGTCTGGACCTTCAAGAATTCCAAATATAGACATTCCCCCTGAACCTTCACCGGTGGGGTCACCAGTTTGAGCGATAAAGCTGCTTCTTATCGAATGAAACAAATTGTAATTGTAATATTTCATTTTGCATAGTTTCAAAAAATTCAAACATGTTACAGGACGCTGATCTAGATACAAGTCAACGGTAATATCGCCTAGAGTTGTTTCTATAACGACTGACATTTTATATTACTACTTTAAGCTTTGTTTTAATCCAAAACATTTGAGATCTAATAAAACTTGAGATATTTAATGACACATCATACACAAGCTAACCTCAATAATTTAGATTCCCTCATAGTGTTTTTGCTGATTACGTTTCTTGTATAGCCTGTATAGGCAAAAGGAATACAATGCATAGAGCCAAATTCTTTGTAATTATATTATTTCCGTAAATAATCCGCTATCAGTAAAGTTTGATTAAGCTCAGTGTTTATTTATATAACTTGAAACCAAAATTAATTTATTATAAATAAATTTTTTATTTATAAAATATTATTTTTGTAAGTAGTAATACAAAAATTATAAAATTGACTTTGGCTTTAACATTTTCGCAATAACTCTAAGAATTTTTCTATGATTTTTTCGTTTAATTGTTTTCTTAATTAATTTTCGGCTTCTAGTTAACTAAACTGTTTAATTAGTAAGATGGAAATCATTGTTATCATTTATCGGGATCTGAACTAAGTATGCTAATTGATGCAACAGCTTGCTATGCATACCAAAAATTTGTACGTGTTTTAATGTTGCTCTGAAAAACGAACGAAAATTTGCTATTCATTTGATTTATAATTACAGCGTACTCTCCTTAAATTCAAAATCTATGAAATCATTTTTGCAAGATTTACTATCGCTGAACGACCTGAACTTGTAAACTGTATTGATTTTTTTCCCAACGAAAACCGAAATTTTAATCCAATGTGCTTTTTATAGAATATAGGCCAAAACATAAAAATATTTATTAAAAAAAATAGAAAACTGATGGGAGATTGAGAAATGTAGTGCCATCTATTTATTCTTATTTATACTAAAAACTTCATGTTGTCGTTGTTCGTTGTTCGCAGTTCAAATAAAGAATCATAGGTGTCACTTATCGATAGCAATGCTCAAAAATATGTTTTTAAAAGAATCCGCATATTATTATGAAATGACTAATGGTATACGAATAAATAATTATTTATGTAATGGTAAAAAAAACAAGCGATGTGAGTTTGTTTCTCGGTTTTGGTTTTATTCTAGAACCGGTGGTTGAGATAACATGTTTTTATTTTTATTTCATTGTATGTTTTAATAATATTGAAATAAAGGAATTGAATTTGAATAAAAACTTATATCGATCAACATTTTTTTTAACTACTATATAGGTACTTACTAGCTTCACTGAAGATGCGATCTACACAAAGACGACAAAACACCAAATTCAATGTAACCTAAAAATGTAGCTGGTGGCCCAAAGGCCTTTCTAGTTTCGCTAGGTCAGATATGCGAGCTCGGGCTTAGCCAGAAGGGGTGGGATATGTTAACAGCTCAATGGCAGCTGCTTCACGAATACCTACATCTACTACTGCATCGGTATCGCAACTCACTGAATAGATCCGGCGATAAACTCTGTTTAACACTTCAAGGCTTGAAGTGTTAAACAGAGTTTATCGCTTTAAAGCTTGAAGTGTTTAACAAAAGCGTTAGTGAGTCCGATGGATCCGTAGGGACGTTTTTAGGTTGTCCACGATAACTAGCTCCTCCATGAATGAAACAAATCCAATAAGTAGTTAGCGGCTGCAACGACAATACGGCTTTCGCATTTTTTTTTCGCTTTTCATAGCACATCTTCTTTCGAAGTTATCTCCATGATGACCTGGAGCTTGACTCAATCAGTAAGTATTTACAGTCGGAATCATTGCGCTACTTTGAGAAGGCGGCACGACACGAAAACCTTCTTGTCGTGGCCGCCGGAAATTACATACCTGATCCTGTGGACCGAATGGTAAACAACCGACGTCGCCCTAAGCACGTCATTACGGATCCTCCCGATCCATTAACGGTGCTTTTGAGTACCTCAAGCATCGGTCACCGTCCTCGTCGAACCCGTCGCTTGCGACGAAAGGCTCGACGAGTAAATTAACCCATAGACACAACCCACTGAGTTTCTCGCCGGATCTTCTCAGTGGGTCGCGTTTCCGATCCGGTGATAGATTCTGCGAGGCACTGCTCTTGCTAGGGCCAGTGTTAGCAACACTCCGGCTTGAGTCCCGTGAGTTCACCTACACGGCAAGGCGAAGCTGAAATAGCCTCTCAAGGCTATCAGCATAGGAATAAAAAAAGTGTATCGAAGTAGCATTTTGGCGTCGGCGTCAGGTTTTTCCTTTTGAGCTTGGGGCCAGGCTCGGGTTGGGTTGGGAAGGGGCAGTTTACTTCGCTCGAAAATCATGGGGTAAAGTTCCACCTAAGACCTATTATATGCATCACATGAATTCACATACTCAGAATACATGCATTTTTTTCGTAGCCATTCGCTGGTAGTGTTACGGAGTACTTCAATTACGCGCGAACGGGTAGGTGAGCTTACGGACTCAACCTGAGAGAATTTGCTAACACCAGCCCTAGCAAGAGCAGTGCTTCGCAGTATTTACTACCGGATCGGAATCGCGATCCACTGAGAAGATCTAGTGAGAAACTTAGTGGGTTGTGTCTATGGGTCAGTTCGCACGACGAACTCTTCGCTTAGTACGAGGTCGGTGACCGGTACTTGAAGAGCCTAAAAGTAGCGAGAAAAGATCCGGGGGATGCCACAAGACATGTTTTGAGCAACGGCCGCTTTGCATTGCCCCTTTACCTGGGTCGGATATGAGGCTGTATAGACTATGGTCATTTTATTAGTCCAGTTAGGCGCGCGGACGTAACATAACTTTCAGGGGACGGCCTATTACAGTCCTGCTGTGTCAAAGCTAATTTTCAAACTTTCCCTTTACTTATCAAATTTCATGATTTTAGGTTAACATGAGTGGTCGGCCTTATAGCTTTTATCGGTGACAGAATATGGCTTATACCTTTTGATTTGTGCGGTCAGTCCCTGGCTGTAGGGGTAGCGAAGCTGCTGCAACGGCCGCAACGCACCATCGCGGTCAGGGTCATCCATGGTTATCGCATCATCTCCTTCGAGGCGGCGTGTGTACTCGTATGATTTAATACGCTTTTATTAGCTTCATGTTTGTAACGGAATCTTTGAACATGATTTTGACCCCCTTCTAAACGTTGAATTAACCCGAAATTTGGTATGCTTATATTACAGGACCGATGACAATTCAATGCTAAAAAAAATAATTGAAAAAATTGAAATTCAACTAAAAAATGAAAAATATTTAATAGTTTAAAAAAACTAACAAAATACGCTTTTATAGAAAATTCAACAAAAAAATAGAAAATAAATTAAAGCGTGGGGTGCATGGTATCAGTAGTTATAAATATTTTATGAACAGATATTACCTGGTGGTAGGACCACTTGTGAGTCCGCGCGGGTAGGTACCACCACCCCGCCTTTTTCTGCCGTGAAGCAGTAATGCGTTTCGGTTTGAAGGGGGAGGCAGCCGTTGTAACTATACTTGAGACCTTAGAACTTATATCTCAAGGTGGGCGGCGCATTTACGTTGTAGATGTCTATATGTCTATGGGCTCCAGTAACCATTTAACACCAAGTGGGCTGTGAGCTCGTCCACCCATCTAAGCAATAAAAAAAGATACGAGTAGAAGGGTTATTTTGATAATATCCTGAAAAGCACCCCACGCTTTTTTACAACAAAATCATTTTTTCAAATTTATTAAAATTTATTTTCTATTTTTTAGTTGGATTTTCTATAAAAGCGTATTTTTTTTGTTTTTAGATTGATTTAAATTTGACTGTGAAATAAGGATTTTCATAAAACAAGCACACAAGTTGTTCATATTATATTTCTCATCCAACAGACCCCATTTTATTACATCGATACGCATGGCGTTCCGTTAAAAAAAACAATTCAATGCTTTCTTCAGTCATTGCAAATGCAGTTGTCAGCTTATCGCAAAAGAGTGCACGTTCGTTTGTCAGTGCACCGGTTTATGTGAGGTCGTCATTCAAGCTAGGCTAACCTTGTATTCTTGGAAGAATGGTTGGTAAATTTTCAATACTGACTTTATTAAATTGGGCGGGAGACGGCGAATTGAAACGTTGGAAAGTGGTGTTATTGGATTTCATAAAAGTCGTGCAGATAACTTTTACCGTGACAAGTTTTAAAACAACACTGGATTTTTTTTTATTCAAGTTTGGAATTTTTAGTTTTGTTCCGTACCTATTTGCTAATAGCCTAAGGCACTAATTCAGCTACGGATGGAGAGGTAGGTGAGCCCAAGGGCACAACCTCAGTGAATTTGCTAATACCAGCCCTAGCGAGAGTATTTCTTCGCCGAATCTATCAACGGATCGGAATCGCGAGCCACTAAGAAGATCCAGCTAGATACTCAGTGGGTTGTGTCTATGGGAAAACTTTGACCATAATCAAATTAAGGCCAACTAAGCATATCTTATTTTTTTACGATTTAATTCTATATCATTCGAACCGTTGGAAATAATATTATAATGATAATATTAAAGGCGAGATTAAACCGTAACAATAATTGTTGTGATTAAAATATTGTGTTTAGTCAATTTGAAAAAATCCATAGATTATTTTTTATGTGCAACGCGAATATAATCTACGTTCCGCGTAAGTACTAGTAGTGAAGTGCTTCGAAATAATCGGTAAATATTTGAAGTAGTGATTGCGTTTGTTGTGTGTTACCGGAGCGACGGATTCGTTTTACGCCCCAGAACTTATTTGTACCTTGCACTAGTGACTCAATATGTATTTAAAGTTAAACTATTTGTTAGAACAATTTTTTTCATATGCTTATTTTATTTAAAATGGTTTCATATACTCTATAGACGTGTTATGTAGGGACACCCTTTTTTAAAAAAAAAAAATAACGCGTTTTTTCTCTATTGATTGGTTTCTGTTATAGTAGATAAGAAAATGAGATCCTGGGCTAACGGGTATTCTGTAGTTACCCGATCGGCTTAGGCTCTTCAAACCGAAGTTCCCATGAACCGAAGCAGCCATCTGCTTCGTTATTTATTGCTCAGATGGTTGGACGAGCTCACAGTGGTTAGCGGAACCCATAGCCACATTATTAACGTAAATGCCATCACCCATCTTCAATAACGAGTTCTAAGTCACAGTTTTAATAGTATAACGACCGTCTCAATCTTCAA